ACCGCCGAAACGTCAGCCATCGACCTACAACACCAACAACAACGGCAACAACAACTACAACGACAACGAAGACTTATACCAACTTCGCATTTGTTGAATAAAACCAGTTTACAAGATCATATAAATAAATATATCAACCAGCTATGCCGAGGCTTGTAGAAAATCGGTTTTTTGAGTTGTTCAATGGTTTCTGTGAAGGGTTCGGACGTAGTACATGCTGTTCTCCTTCTTAGTTTTTTCTTCATATACTTTCTACTGTTCATTAAACGCGTTAGATATATGCAAGATCTGGTCTCTCTAATCGTAGAGCAATCCTTTTATTTTTATTTAGCATAATATCGTGGACTTCCCGTCCTCCTCCCTAAACAAACAATGCTTTCAGAATAAAACCTGGCATGATTTCCCAACAGTTTCCCACTCTTTCGTGGCTGGAATGTGTTTCTGGGTATCGGGCTGCGATGTACAGCGAGCGAATTCATCCCCTAGCAGGGTCTCCCAAGTTGAGAACGAGTCCGGCGTTTCCTTCGGGAAGCCTAGCTAAGAGTAAACCAATACCAAGATCCACCACCATCGTAATATCAAACTAGTCGCATGGTGGCAAATCTCGCTCTGTATCTACAAGGGCGACGAGTGCCTGTGGTGTCGGCGATCTAACTTTGTCCTGTGTGACCGCAGGACTCCAGCGAACTACAGCAGCTAATCCACCAAATCCCCGAAAAAGTTAAAATTATGCTGGGGTCCACGCAAATGATGAATACGGGCATCCCATCCAAGTGTCCATGTAAATACTTATTCCCTATTGATCACTTAATGGCAACGTTCATTCTAACTGCCCTTGTTAAAATTCTTAGATTTCACAGTGTTTAAAGCTAAGAGAGTGAACTGTTTTGGGCACAGGCGAAATGAAATCAGTCCGTATCGTAGTCAATGGAAAAATTCAGTATTATTGCGATGAATTCTATACTGGCTAAGTATGGTGGGACGGCTAGATTATATAGGAATACCAAGTAGTTAAGATGATTCGGTCGGAATTTGCTGCACGCCTTTGTGTATGCCACGCCGGACTTCTTGTAAGTGGTAGTCACAATGCCGGAAACCTCAAACTTGGGTAATTAAACCGTTTATCATAATTATACAACAATTATGGCATAACAATACAACTGTACAATTAATACAACAATGATACAAGTAATGAATAGGCGCAGCCTGATTTCTTGTGTTCAGGTTGCTCAAGAGTGAAGAGGTTGTCATAAGACTTCGACCACATGAGATCGATGTGAGGAAAGAATATGGTGATTGCTTTGCATTGCATTGCTGTGACCTGAGCTAGTCAGCCGTGGAGCCGTTTATATACCGTTTGGGTTGGGCGGAGTCAGGCTACAATAGGCGGAGTCGCGTTACAGTAGGTGGAGTGAGGTTACAGTAGGTGGAGTCAGGCTACAGTATGCGGAAGGACGGCTACCGGAAACATTTCGCAAGCGTTGCAATCTGATAAGGCGATAGTCAAAGCATAGGACTGTAACTGCAGATGTTTTTCATGAGATAACCGCCGACGAAATGTTAGCCATGTGGTTATCGGATCGTCATAAGGTCACCGGAAGCCGTATTCGAAAATGTTTGACATAAGGTTATAAGATCGTCGTGGAAAAAAGGTCACCGGAAGCAGTATTTGAAATGTTTGACATAAGATTATAATTAATTTACATAAAGAACATTCCAATATTCGTAAAGAATGTTCTCTATACTAAGTTTCTTATAACGTTGGCAGCTCTGCGTATGGGTGAGGGAACGTAGTGGTTTTCGTCATCGAGCTGTTGTATTCCTGAAGAATTTGCTTGCAAAACATTTGTATGACAAAAGTTATTCAGATATGATTTGTAAATACCTTTCTACTTTTATCGTTTCTTTATTACATAGCTTGTTTAAGAGACCATATCAGATTTCAACATTGTGGGCTCTTAGGCTATTTACTCGAATATTTGGATCGAGGAGTTGTGCTAGTTTAGCCATTATGGTTCCCTGGGATCCTAAGGTCATCCTGGCCAAAGTCTAATGCAGGTTATTGGGGTAATGTGTAGTATTTTTTGTTCCTCGGGGAGTATCTACTGTCTTTATCAGAACGAGATCACCTGGAGCGACTTCGCAATGCGCTGAGCTCGACCAATCGATGACGACATTCCGGACATCACTCGGATTACGTGCCTCGATCCTCCCGTCTGAGAACCAGTTTCTTACCTACATTCGCTTCATGTTCACTTATGTTGGACATAGCATTTTGCTGTTGCTGTTAGGGTGCCTTCGTACGCTACACAACGTTTTTGATTCTTTTTAGCAGTTAATTATTGCTGATTTTTTCGTTTTTCGAAATCTTTGGGTTGATTGTGGACAAATCCAGTTGTCCGTCTGCTAAGTTTGCAGTTGATTGTAAAAATTCATTAGAAGCTCTTGCTTTAACCAGGTTTGTGCTAACCATCGGTTTCCGTGAGCTTTCAGGTGCACTATTTGCTCCCACTTAAAAAAATTTAGCAGGTGTTTTTAAGGAGTACGCTTTATAATGTTTTTGTTTACTGATATCTATGTTTACAGATGCGAATTCGTCTTTTGGCATCTTCAGGAAAATTCATCTGACGTATATTCCACGAGAGATCCCAGTGAACAGGTCCGCTATAAACATTATTGTCATGGCTGATATTCTTCATGGCTGGAAATAGAATAAGTAGTGCAGAAGGATTTTCTTAAATTAAATGCTACTGGATGGTCTTCCTGTGTAGGCGTGTTGTGTTCGTTACTTTATTTCATGAAAGTTGTAGCACATCGATTCCATCGACTTTCTCGAAATTGTTTCCTCTTCTTAAGACACTAACGGTCTTTTAGCTATAACAGAAGCTATTCCTAGGATATGTAAACTTTTCTGCACATGTAGTTCAATTGAGAATTTGCACTTTTTCAAGTCTTTTTTTCAGATGAGTGACTATGTTGATGTACTGCTGCAGTCTGTGAAGCAAGGTACTCGTAATATCACAAGAACCAGTACTTTTAGGATCAAGAGTCAACGAAAAACCACGGCCTTCTCAGCCATTTTAAATGGTTTGCAGGGTTCTTCTCAATGTGGCACTGTCGTGCTTGCATGTAGCTTTACCTGCTTCTTGCGTCTAATCGTATCTAAGCTATTCGTCATCGAGTAGGCGCATTTATAAGATGCGGAAGAGTCCACTTTTCTCGCCACGGGAACCCGAGGGCTTCTGATGCCAGAGGCCTAGGATATGTTGAAAATCGAGTTTTTACGTCATTTGAAAGCATCGGACATTTCAGAGACGGTGAAAGAATGAAGTTTCATATGGAACGAGCGATGAATTGGTGAAAATTGTTCGTGTTTCTGTCAACTTCAAATCAGGATCTTCAAAATTTTCAAGCTAGTGTCTATGCCCCTGCTTTACCTAGCTTTTTAATTTTTATGAAGCTTTTTTCTTTTCGAGATCGAAAGTGTCCTTTTCGCTGTTTTAGCTTGCTGCGAGTATACGGAGAATAACAGTCGACCAGAGCTTCTATTGCACATTCCAGCACGGATTGTGTGTTTTCGTGCATATTGAGCACACCCATACGATTGTGGACAACGTGCACACTTCTGTCGTCATCACCACCTTCTTCAGTTAAAGAGTTTGTTAATCTCTAAGTTTTCGTTGTTACACCATTCTCAAAGACGTTTTTCAACACCAGTGGCAGTTACTAACGTGTTTTGGAGCTGACGAATATTGTAGCCAAGCGGAAGTCGCTGCAGCCCATAGTGAAACTCCTTCGCACTGTCCAGTTCCCCACGATCTTCACACAGAACAGTACATATCTAACGATACCACCAGTAAGAATCTTGTGTCTACTACTATGTGTGCAACCAACATTCTGCTTATGGCTCCTTTATGAATCCAACTGGTCTTTTTTTCTTTCTCGATAAATATTCGGAGATTAGTGGCTTTCTGGTCACGTTTTAATAAAGCATTTTTCAAGTTGCGTTTATTAAGTCATTACGGACGAAACGACTACGTGACCTAGGTGTAGCACGGACGCTTATGAAAATCTATTGGCAAAGCGATTTCAGAGTTCGGCGAACGCATGCTGGACCCAAATTTCGTTTCTGCAAGTAACAGTGGCATTTCGGCCATCTAAGTGAAGAATCTTCATCCTAGATGTAAGCTTCATGGACTCGTCTACCAGTTAACTGGCGCGAATATGTTTTCCATAGTCTAAAAAATCGTCAGTGAACATCTTCCTGTCGATCCATCTTCGCTAAAATCCGTGATTCCGGAGCAAAAGTTACTGTAAGCATGGCGAACGACGCAATGGCTCATATTCCAGTTGCTTAAAAATTTTCAGTGCTGCAAGACGTGTCCTCGGGTCAACGTGCTTCTTCCCGAGTAGTTGACAGTGATAGAAAATGTTACTGTAATAACTGTCTAGAATAAGAAAATTACAACGGATAATTTCACCTACTGAATGTGGATAAGTTTCGCTCATGTTGCACAGAAGAACAGCAGAACAGAGTTTATTACAAAGCGCTCTCCGATTTCTCTAAAATCTACATGACGTCCATTTGCCACAACTTTTTGAACGTCCCATTTCCGCTCAGCAGTTCTAAAACTGCTGTTTCAAACATGTCTTTTTCTTCTATAAATTCGTAAATTTTTGTATTTGTATGTATGTGTGCGTGTGTGTATGCATGCGTGTGCATGTATGTTTGCGTGTCTGTATGTACGCGTATGTGTGTGTGTATGTGTGTATGTGTAAGTTGCATTGTTGTCATATTTTCAGCAGCAATCTTTATAGTGATGATCAGTGATGATCACACTGTTAAACAGCGACAACAACGACGCATTTCATCTCCACCTTATGTGGCCCTGAAAAAGGCCGTTGGGTCAGATATATCTATTGGCATAGACTTGACTAACCTCCGAAATGGTTCATCGTAAGTCCACGGCGTTTCAGAGCATAGCCCACATCCACAGCTGTCACGGTCCTTCTCGCCGGACACAGATGGCCATGGCATCTCGTGTCACGCTCCAGAGGAACACCTTCAACACTTCCCGAATTTTGTCATACGCGAGCCTTGAGATGCGCATCGCTTCAGCGCTACGAGCCAGATGACGAATCAACTGCTTGGTAATTCCTTGCATGCTGTTTCCAAGCACTTCACTATGGCGTTTAGCGCCTCCTTTGCTTTGTCCTTCACTTTCTTTTCCGCGTCCAGTCATGTTCACAATCGCATGTTTGCAGATAACAGTCGTGTAAGAGAGACTGACCGATCGCCTCGTATATAGCGGCTTCTGCTGCTCACCCTGCTCTCGCGGTCACAGACAAAGGTTGCAATCTTAACTGTTTTTCCTTAAAAAACCCTAGAGTAGGACAATTTTTGGCGAACTGAAGTAAAAATTGCATTATGATAATTCAATGAAGGCAGACAAATGGTGATTCTGTTGAGAGAATTGGGGGCTGAGGTCTGAGGGTTTCCGTTCTTAGCCCAATGCAGTCGATCTTCATATTCCAAATCCATGGTGTTATTCTCTCGATAGGATCGGACATCATGGCAGCCGTGCCATTCGACTTAAGTGCAACCAAATTGCGGCGGAAATTCGATAACGACGATGAGCGAATATATCCAATTCACTCCTTGCTATGGACTATTTAGACCTCTATTCCTCCCAATAGGAGTTATTTTTTCGTGAATTTCGCATGGTTCTAGCTATTCCCAGTTAGTCTGTTGAGACTTTCACACTTCTTAAATACCTTATCTTCAATCGTATAGACTTCTTCCTCTTACGATAGCAAAACTTTAACAAGCCGCGAAAAATTTCTCACGCTTCCGTTAATACTCAGATGTCGGAAAAACGCAAGAAGTTTTACTTTTTATTTTCTGCCTACTACGATTTTCATGGCAAGGTACTAAGCAAAATACAACCACAATGTTGCTGAGATATTTGCAAAACTTCAGACAACAGGTGTCTGCGGTAGGGACCAAACACGCCGCTTTCAGGTGCTAACTTGCTCACGACCACACCAAGCGAGTCCGCTTCGCATCCTTCTCAGCCGTGTTACCTACCAGTGCCTTCAACAATCACAAGTTCAAGTTTAAGGTCTAAGGTGCGCCAAACCTCGAAATAAGCGTTTTCCGAGCGAAACTTTCGAATGTCTAATGTGCACAAAACCACGAAATAAACACCCTCCTAGGGAAATTGTAGAAAAATGCTTAACGTGCATTAAACCTGGAAATATCTGTTTTGCAAGCAAAACTCCCAAATAGTGTCTAATGTACTTTAAACTTGAAATAAGCACTTCGGCCAAACTCTCGAAAAACGCACAGTGTGCGCGGTGCAGAGTTTTTTTGGCGTTCTTTTTTGGATTCATTTGATAGCTTATTTAGCAGAGATATTGCACAAGACGTCTAGTGAAAAAAGCTACATTCTACCCACAGCAATTTAAAAAGGTTTGGGCTTGTTCTTCTGATTCAAGGACCGTCCTAGAGAGGAGGGTACTTAGGTGCTTCAACCCTGGCCACCGAATTGGCTTCCGCACAGTGTGTTACCGTTAGTTTCAAATATTAGTAGAAACAAAAGATATACAGAAAAGCTAAAGCATGCGCGATGTTCTTCATGGAAAGAAATATGAAGTCAAAAAATATTATGTTTAGAAGGCGGGCGACTTCTTTTCACTATATAAAGGGCGTCAAAGTGTTTGAAAAACGTTGGAGCGTACCTGGAAAATGACAGAAGACGTGTTTAGAAGAATAAATGTTGAAATGAGTGAAATAACAAGAATGAAGGCCGAATTGTGGGGCGAAAAGCTCGAAGAAGAAACGACCTTATTTCTTGGAGCTCTGCGGCCAATATGCTTTGAAATTAATACACACCTCGCGCTCTACCCCAAGCGACCACCACACGAACTTAAGAGTTGTTCAGAGTTTGTTGAACTTATTATTTTTTAAACCAAATCTGAATCACCTTTTAATGGACACAAACAGTTGACGAGCAACATTGAACTAGTCAAATAAGGCCTAACTGGGTAATCCAGTTTCATTCAATGTGTAACCAAACGCTTGAAAGTAAACAATGTGCTGGAAGTGTTGTCATCACTAAGATGGAAAAACATTTTTATTTAACTATAGTCGCTCCAAATTATTTAACAAAATAAAAGGAGATTTTGTTATAAAAGAAAGAAGCTCTCTGGTTTTCTGGATGAAGGAAACGGATACTTTACCTCGCCAAAAGTCTCATCATCTTCGTCAGTGGCGCAGACTGCCAGTAGCTGCCCAGCTGAGCGGTATCCTTTGCGGACGGTGATGTTGCAGCTGGTAGGACTGAGGACAGGCAAGTTATCTTTAGCGTGTTCCACTTGAATACTGACCAGACACTTCGCAAGAAGCCCATCTGAAGATTTTATGTCGAAAAATGCTCGATTCAATGAGCGAAATGATTTCGTACATGACATACTTGAAAAAAGCTCTGATCGATTGGAACCCAGATTACTGACACCAAAGCGGATTAGTGTCTGAAAATATTGATCCAACATTAGCAAGAATAAACTGCTTTGAACTACGATCTAACATAGCTCATAACACACACACACACACACACACACACACACACACACACACACACACACACACACACACACACACACACACACACACACACACACACACACACACACACACGCACACACACACACACACACACACACACACACGCACACACACACACACACACACACACACACACGCACACACACACACACACACACACACACACACGCACACACACACACACACACACACACACACACACACACACACACACACACACACACACACACACACACACACACACACACACACGCACAGCATACGCCCATACACTCGTACACATGCACACATGGATCACGAACACAAATAGGAACACACCGATGGCAGGAGGCTTTGAACCATTGGACTAATTACTGTTGGAATAAATGTTTTGGCATTTTTGAGAGTCATGTACTGAAGCCTTTAGACACTATGCGCGTTAGAGATAATTATATAATCAATGTGATATGACATGCTGAGAGCGCTAAGATTGACGTCGATGGGAATACCACGTCAAAAGTATAAGAAAATGTAATGGTTTATTACTGTCCGAAAGCTCTCAATCCACTGACCTCTTCAGTTGATTGTCAGAGAAACTAGACAGGGCGATACAGCTTATGAAAATCTACTCGCTATTGGTTACAAACCTCTCCCAGATCTGCCTTAAATTTCCTGCTTTTAACATAAAGGCTTGATATTTCTTCCTCACCTTTCACACCTACACCAATACACAGCACGATTTTGTACAGCTAGGAGTCTTGTCCTCTTCGGGCAATCAAGCAAGGGCATTTTCGTTGTTTCGATAGTGTTTTCACGCTGAATAGGTGTTATTTTCCGGTACTAAAGCAACCAATGTTGATAGACAATAAACCTTGCATTGATATTCACAGTAAGGCACTCTTGTTACAGAAGAGCACTTATTTTTCTCAACATAGACGATCTTGACAAAAGATCAAAAACGTTCAAGATCTTCCTGAAAATCGTTTACCGCCTCATCGAGGCTGGGAGATGTTTCTGGGTGCAGGGCTGTGATGTACAGCGACGTGATTATTCCACTGGCAGAAATTCCCAAGCTGAGGAGTCCAACGCTTTCATTAGGAAACGTACGTAAGGGTAAACCAACACTGGGAACGATCACCGTCCTTGTATCGAACTCTTCGCATGGTTGCAAATCTTCCACGTTTTCACAAGTGCGGCAACTGCCTGTGGTGCTGACGACCTAGAGCAGACTTTGGCCTGGTTGACCTCGGGACTCTAGGGAACCACGATGCTTAAAACAGCGAGTTCCAAACAATGGAAGTTAAACTGGGGCCCACACAACCAGCGAAGACGGACCATTCGGCTACCCAAGTAACTAAGTAAGCGATCTTACATCACAATTAAGGGTGCCAGTACTTGACAATAGTTTATTGGAATACTTTCAGGGATTCTAGGATTCGTAGAAGCGCAGCGCAGTTTATACCGTTTATGTCGAATACCTCGTATTTAACTGGTAGCACAGCTAGACGACTTCAGTTACAAAAACATAGTCCATCTGCTCCTTTAGCAAGTAATCGCTGCAAAGTGGACATATCACTACACAGAGTTCGCCGCGTATCTCCTACCTTCTACTTGTCGACAAGCGTTAACCGATCTGCCTATTCTTTGGTACAAATATTAAATTCCATGAAAGCATAAGAAAACGAACTCTTTCAAAATACTTATCTGTGAGGTTTAGCTCGTTAAGAAGTGGATCCGTTTTCCTAAAAAATAATGTCTAGAACGTCTGCGGGCTTCGAAATATTGTCTACGTTGTTCAGATTTAATTCTAACTAAGGGCTCAAAGCCAGGCTGTAAATGAACTATTATGTTCAATAAATAACTGCAAAGATTTGATCTCACAAATTGATGGAGAAAATCGAACGCAACGTAATGATGGTCACACGTATTTTTTGCATTTCAATAGAGCAAATTCATTATCCATTACAACGCGGGAATGGAAAGATAGAGTGAGATTGTGTTTCTGTGTCGGACACTAACTGCAGCTTGTAAATGGTATATTCGCAGAATTCTAGCAGAATCCAGCCTCCTCAGCTGTTTGTGCTTCATCCAAACCTCAATTAGTGATGGTCTAATCTTCATGAAGAGTTTGTAAAAAATCCTCAACAAGTACAGTGAGTGGAGGATGCGAAGGTCCATTCGGCTGCACTTCTTGAACAGGACCGCAGTTCTGTAAATACACTCTTCAGTAATTTAATCGCGTTGAAGATATGTTGACATAGAGGCTGGCAGAAGTCTGTCTAAATCGTGATTTCAAGGTGGCAGAAAGGTTTTCTTGTGTTTCCTAATTAGAAGATGCCCCGTTTATGGTCGTAACTTGAAGCAAAGGCAGAGATAGTTTTCATGACGTCCACTTTTACAAGAATGCCTCATAATTGTGAATTTTAGCTTGATTGACCGCGCGCCTTCCCGTATTCGTCACGCGGGACTTCAATCTATTGGTAAGCGAACTTAGTCTTTAATCGACGTCTTTAGTTAATCGATGACGTCTTCGGAACGATCCTCTAAGCCACTTTTTTAGTACAGTCTAAAGTATTCCTGACGAAAACTACTGTATCACGCAAGCGAAAAATTTTGACCGAAATTCTATTTCGGCAA